TAACAAAAGGCAGTTTTCATTCTCCAATTGTTTCACACGTTTGAAAAAATGAAGCATCTGCATTAACTCCTAAAGGTGTCTACGGTTTCTGCCAAGTGACCTCACGGAAGAGGAGGATTCTGTTTTGGCTTGGCTTGTCCTTCCACGTTGTTGTCAGGTTTGAAGAATTGAAACATCTGCATTCCCTTCTAACAGTAGATTTCCTCTATTTGACTGAGTGGACAAATTCGGCTCTGCTCATTTCTGGGAAATCGAAAATCACGATGTTGTTTTGCAAAGCATTTCCTTTCTTCCATCGTTACTTAATCCATCTTTTAAAATTGCTGTCACTGCTTGAAAGAGTGTGCAGTAAGTGGTGCCTCTTTCGGACCAAGGGAGGTTTCTCCAATTTTTTTCACAAGTTGAATCGCTTCTGAGATTTGTCATGCTATGTTTTTTCTTTTTCCCAGATAAGCTGCCACACCCACCCCAAATTGAGACCGCGTGGCCTAATGGATAAGGCGTCTGACTTCGAATCAGAAGATTGAGGGTTCGAGTCCCTTCGTGGTCGATGTTTGTGAAGCTTCAAACACCAATGCAGAAGACTGTCATGTTCTTCTGAAAAGGGGCAAGTTTCTTTGTTACTTTTAATGATAAAAATTGGTGCGTTTGACTAAATCAAACAACCCTATGATGGAAAACTACTAGAAATATAAGAAAAAGGGCAGTTTCCTTCAAATTATTTAAAGCAAACCATCAAATAAAGTCATCAGAAACAGAGGGATGTATTTGAAGAAGATCAGAAGAGAAGCCAGCTGTGGCAAATGTGGGATTTCAACTTAGCCTCTATAGGGAGACCCAAAAAGGATTACCGGCTATGAGAAGAGTATTGCGTAAATCTAAAGAAAGACACTCTTGTCAGAAGTGTGATTTGAACCCACGCCTCCATACGGAGACCAGAACACCCATACAAAGTAAGAGAACTCTCTCGAGTATGGCATTTTCGATGGGCAATGTTAGCCATCGTTAGAGAAATGAAAACAGAAACATTCTTTGAAAATCATGCTATTTCTTTCTCATCAACTTATGCAAATCATTGGAATTGCCACTTATGCCAAAAAGAGAGAGCTCTGAAAGTGTGTTTCTAACAAAAGGCAGTTTTCATTCTCCAATTGTTTCACACGTTTGAAAAAATGAAGCATCTGCATTAACTCCTAAAGGTGTCTACGGTTTCTGCCAAGTGACCTCACGGAAGAGGAGGATTCTGTTTTGGCTTTGCTTGTCCTTCCACGTTGTTGTCAGGTTTGAAGAATTGAAACATCTGAATTCCCTTCTAACAGTAGATTTCCTCTATTTGACTGAGTGGACAAATTCGGCTCTGCTCATTTCTGGGGAATCGAAAATCACGATGTTGTTTTGCAAAGCATTTCCTTTCTTCCATCGTTACTTAATCCATCTTTTAAAATTGCTGTCACTGCTTGAAAGAGTGTGCAATAAGTGGTGCCTCTTTCGGACCAAGGGAGGTTTCTCCAATTTTTTTCACAAGTTGAATCGCTTCTGAGATTTGTCATGCTATGTTTTTTCTTTTTCCCAGATAAGCTGCCATACCCACCCAAAAATTGAGACCGCGTGGCCTAATGGATAAGGCGTCTGACTTCGAATCAGAAGATTGAGGGTTCGAGTCCCTTCGTGGTTGATGTTTGTGAAGCTTCAAACACCAATGCAGAAGATTGTCATGTTCTTCTGAAAAGGGGCAAGTTTCTTTGTTACTTTTAATGATAAAAATTGGTGCGTTTGACTAAATCAAACAACCCTATGATGGAAAACTACTAGAAATATAAGAAAAGGGTGTTTCCTTCAAATTATTTAAAAGCAAAACCATCAAGAAAAGTCATCAGGAAAATGAGAGGGATGTATTTGAAGAAGATCAAAAAGAGAAGCTAGGCTGCGGGCAAAATGTGGATTTCCTAACTTAGCCTCTATAGGAGACTCAAAAAAGGATTACCGCTATGAGAAGAGTATTGAGTGCAATCTAAAGAAAGACACTTCCTTGTCAGGTGAAGTGTGATTTGAACTCCACGCTTCCATAATGGAGACCAGAACATCTATTGTTAGTAAAGTGTAAGAGAACTTCCTCTCTTTAGTATGGCATTTTCGATGGGCAATGTTAGCCATCGTTAGAGAAATGAAAACAGAAACATTCTTTGGAAATCATGCTACTTCTTTCTCATCAACTTATGCAAATCATTGGAATTGCCACTTATGCCAAAAAGCCAAAAAGAGAGAGCTCTGAAAGTGTGTTTCTAACAAAAGGCAGTTTTCATTCTCCAATTGTTTCACACGTTTGAAAAATGAAGCATCTGCATTAACTCCTAAAGGTGTCTACGGTTTCTGCCAAGTGACCTCACGGAAGAGGAGGATTCTGTTTTGGCTTGGCTTGTCCTTCCACGCTGTTGTCAGGTTTGAAGAATTGAAACATCTGCATTCCCTTCTAACAGTAGATTTCCTCTATTTGACTGAGTGGACAAATTCGGCTCTGCTCATTTCTGGGGAATCAAAAATCACGATGTTGTTTTGCAAAGCATTTCCTTTCTTCCATCGTTACTTAATCCATCTTTTAAAATTGCTGTCACTGCTTGAAAGAGTGTGCAGTAAGTGGTGCCTCTTTCGGACCAAGGGAGGTTTCTCCAATTTTTTCATAAGTTGAATCGCTTCTGAGATTTGTCATGCTATGTTTTTTCTTTTTCCCAGATAAGCTGCCATATCCACCCCAAATTGAGACCGTGTGGCCTAATGGATAAGGCGTCTGACTTCGAATCAGAAGATTGAGGGTTCGAGTCCCTTCGTGGTCGATGTTTGTGAAGCTTCAAACACCAATGCAGAAGACTGTCATGTTCTTCTGAAAAGTAAGTGCGCTCTTTTACTTAATGATAAAATTGCGCGCTTGACTAAATCAAACAACCCTATGATGGAAAACTACTAGAAATATAAGAAAAGGGCAGTTTCCTTCAAATTATTGCAGTTAAAACCATCACAAAGCTACCAGAAACAGAGGGATGTATTTGGAAATATTCCTAAAAGAGAAGCTACGTGGTAAAATGTGGATTTCAACTTAGCCTCTTTTAGAGACCCAAAAGGATTACCGCTGGTGAGAAGAGTATTGGCGTAAATTCAAAGAAAAGACACTCTCGTCAAAGTGTGATTTGAACCTAATGCCTCCATACGGAGACTATACAGTAAGAGAACTCTCTCTAGTATGGTATTTTGATGTGGGCAATGTTAGCCATCGTTAGAGAAATGAAAACAAAAACATTCTTTGGAAATCATGCTATTTCTTTCTCATCAACTTATGCAAATCATTGCCACTTATGCCAAAAAGAGAGAGCTCTGAAAGTGTGTTTCTAACAAAAGGCAGTTTTCATTCTCCAATTGTTTCACACGCTTGAAAAAATGAAGCATCTGCATTAACTCCTAAAGGTGTCTACGGTTTCTGCCAAGTGACCTCACGGAAGAGGAGGATTCTGTTTTGGCTTGGCTTGTCCTTCCACGTTGTTGTCAGGTTTGAAGAATTGAAACATCTGCATTCCCTTCTAACAGTAGATTTCCTCTATTTGACTGAATGGACAAATTCGGCTCTGCTCATTTCTGGGGAATCAAAAATCACGATGTTGTTTTGCAAAGCATTTCCTTTCTTCCATCGTTACTTAATCCATCTTTTAAAATTGCTGTCACTGCTTGAAAGAGTGTGCAGTAAGTGGTGCCTCTTTCGACCAAGGGAGGTTTCTCCAATTTTTTTTCACAAGTTGAATCGCTTCTGAGATTTGTCATGCTATGTTTTTTCTTTTTCCCAGATAAGCTGCCATACCTACCACAAATTGAGACCGCGTGGCCTAATGGATAAGGCGTCTGACTTCGAATCAGAAGATTGAGGGTTCGAGTCCCTTCGTGGTCAATGTTTGTGAAGCTTCAAACACCAATGCAGAAGACTGTCATGTTCTTCTGAAAATGGGCAAGTTTCTTTGTTACTTTTAATGATAAAAATTGGTGCGTTTGACTAAATCAAACAACCCTATGGTGGAAAACTACTAGAAATATAAGAAAAAGGGCAGTTTCCTTCAAATTATTTAAAGCAAACCATCAAATAAAGTCATCAGAAACAGAGGGATGTATTTGAAGAAGATCAAAAGAGAAGCCAGCTGTGGCAAATGTGGGATTTCAACTTAGCCTCTATAGGGAGACCAAAAAAGGATTACCGGCTATGAGAAGAGTATTGCGTAAATCTAAAGAAAGACACTCTTGTCAGAAGTGTGATTTGAACCCACGCCTCCATACGGAGACCAGAACACCCATACAAAGTAAGAGAACTCTCTCGAGTATGGCATTTTCGATGGGCAATGTTAGCCATCGTGAGAGAAATGAAAACAGAAACATTCTTTGGAAATCATGCTATTTCTTTCTCATCAACTTATGCAAATCATTGGAATTGCCACTTATGCCAAAAGAGAGAGCTCTGAAAGTGTGTTTCTAACAAAAGGCAGTTTTCATTCTCCAATTGTTTCACACGTTTGAAAAAATGAAGCATCTGCATTAACTCCTAAAGGTGTCTACGGTTTCTGCCAAGTGACCTCACGGAAGAGGAGGATTCTGTGCAGCTTAGCTTGTGTCCTTCCACATTTATCCAGCAGGTTTGAAGAATTGAAAACTTACATCACCATTCCCTTCCTAACAGTAGATTTCCCTCTATTTGACTGAGTGGACAAATTCGTCTCTGCTCATTTCTGGGAATGAAAATCCGCGATGTTGTTTTTGCAAAGCATTTCCTTTCTTCCATCGTTACTTAATCCATCTTTTAAAAATTGCTGTCACTGCTTGAAAGAGTGTGCAGTAAGTGGTGCCTCTTTCGGACCAAAGGGAGGTTTCTCAATTTTTTTTCACAAGTTAGATAAACTACAGAGATTTGTGTCATGCTATAGTTTTTCTTTTTCCCAGATAGCTGCCATACCCACCCCAAATTGGGGAACCCAGCATTGGCCTAATGGATAAAGGCGTCTGACTTCCGAATCAGAAGATTGAGGGTTCGAGTCCCTTCGTGGTCGATGTTTGTGAAGCTTCAAACATCAATGCAGAAGACTGTCATGTTCTTCTGAAAAGGGGCAAGTTTCTTTGTTACTTTTAATGATAAAAATTGGTGCGTTTGACTAAATCAAACAACCCTATAATGGAAAACTACTAGAAATATAAGAAAAAGGGCAGTTTCCTTCAAATTATTTAAAGCAAACCATCAAATAAAGTCATCAGAAACAGAGGGATGTATTTGAAGAAGATCAAAAGAGAAGCCAGCTGTGGCAAATGTAGGATTTCAACTTAGCCTCTATAGGGAGACCCAAAAAGGATTACCGGCTATGAGAAGAGTATTGCGTAAATCTAAAGAAAGACACTCTTGTCAGAAGTGTGATTTGAACCCACGCCTCCATACGAAGACCAGAACACCCATACAAAGTAAGAGAACTCTCTCGAGTATGGCATTTTCGATGGGCAATGTTAGCCATCGTTAGAGAAATGAAAACAGAAACATTCTTTGGAAATCATGCTATTTCTTTCTCTTCAACCTAATCAAATCATTGGAATTGCCACTTATGCCAAAAAGAGAGAGCTCTGAAAGTGTGTTTCTAACAAAAGGCAGTTTTCATTCTCCAATTGTTTCACACGTTTGAAAAAATGAAGCATCTGCATTAACTCCTAAAGGTGTCTACACGGTTTCTGCCAGTGACCTCACGGAAGAGGAGGGATTCTGTTTTGGCTTGGCTTGTCCTTCCACGTTGTTGTCAGGTTTGAAGGGTGAAACATCTGCATTCCCTTCCCCAACAGTAGATTTCCTCTGATATTTTATTTAGTGGACAAATTAGGTCTCTGCTCATTTCTGGGAATGAAAATCCGATGTTGTTTTACCAAGAAACATTTCCTTTCTTCCATCGTTACTTAATCCATCTTTTAGGTACTTTTATCACTGCTTGAAAGAGTGTGTGCAGTAAGTGGTGCCTCTTTCGGACCAAGGGAGGTTTCTCCAATTTTTTTCACAAGTTGAATCGCTTCTGAGATTTGTCATGCTATGTTTTTTCTTTTTCCCAGATAAGCTGCCATACCCACCCCAAATTGAGATCGCGTGGCCTAATGGATAAGGCGTCTGACTTCGAATCAGAAGATTGAGGGTTCGAGTCCCTTCGTGGTTGATGTTTGTGAAGCTTCAAACACCAATGCAGAAGACTGTCATGTTCTTCTGAAAAGGGGCAAGTTTCTTTGTTACTTTTAATGATAAAAATTGGTGCGTTTGACTAAATCAAACAACCCTATGATGGAAAACTACTACAAATAAAAGAAAAAGGGCAGTTTCCTTCAAATTATTTAAAGCAAACCATCAAATAAAGTCATCAGAAACAGAGGGATGTATTTGAAGAAGATCAAAAGAGAAGCCAGCTGTGGCAAATGTGGGATTTCAACTTAGCCTCTATAGTGAGACCCAAAAAGGATTACCGGCTATGAGAAGAGTATTGCATAAATCTAAAGAAAGACACTCTTGTCAGAAGTGTGATTTGAACCCACGCCTCCATACGGAGACCAGAACACCCATACAAAGTAAGAGAACTCTCTCGAGTATGGCATTTTCGATGGGCAATGTTAGCCATCGTTAGAGAAATGAAAACAGAAACATTCTTTGAAAATCATGCTATTTCTTTCTCATCAACTTATGCAAATCATTGGAATTGCCACTTATGCCAAAAAGAGAGAGCTCTGAAAGTGTGTTTCTAACAAAAGGCAGTTTTCATTCTCCAATTGTTTCACACGTTTGAAAAAATGAAGCTTTTTATCTGCATTAACTCTAAGGTGTCTACGGTTTTCTGCCAGTGACCTCCGCGGAAGGGAGGATTCTACGGCTTGGCTTGTCCTTCCGCGTTGTTGTCAGGTTTGAAGAATTGAAACATCTGCATTCCCTTCTAACAGTAGATTTCCTCTTGTTCTGGTACCTCCAGGAGCGAAATGTCTTACAAACCGCCGTTTGTGAGTATTCCGTTCGCGTAATGTGATGCGAATTGTAGTCAAAACCATGCGAACCGCCAGTCAGGGAACACTCCAAACTCCCGAACGGTACCTGTACGGCTAATTCCCTTCGCAAGCCGCAAATCCACAAACGGCAATTAATAACCGAACGACAATCTCTCCCAAGCGGCAAATAATCCAAGTAAGCAGTCTCTCGCCGCTAGTATCCAAATCCCCCCAATAACGAGACCAAGCTCCGCTTTGAGGGTAAAACACGAACTGGTTTACTGTGGGCTACCTGCCCGGTATTTATGCAGGTCTCCCACTTGGTGGACACTCCCCTAGAGGACCAAATGGGAGACTGAAATCACAGAGGGACATGGGGACATTCTGGACATACATCCCCACAATATTCCCAGCATGCAGTACAGTTCCCTCCCCTCTGCTCGGGGGATAATTGGGAAGTAATTCAATTATCTCCCCGAGCAGAGGCAATCGCCATTTTAGATACAAGTTACAAAACCACACAAAAATCCATAACTTAATAACTGCTGAACATTTTACATCAGTCTTGCATATCCCCAGATAGCCTGGATCTGAGGGCACATTATTGGAAAATAGCGCTCAGATCCCATTCGCACAGTTCAATCGCCATGGAGTCAAAGTCTCTTTCAGTTCTTCGGTATGCGATTGACTCCATGGGACGGCTATCTGGGTTAAGTCCATTCGTGTGGTTGAATCTCCCGAACGACTGTCGTTCGCATGCTTTTGTCGATTGAGAAGGGGAGGTCGACGGCTTCAGCGGTGTTCGGCTGAAAAAGTGTCCGTTTTCCGATCCATGAAATAATCGTTGAACACAGCTGGTCGTTCGCATGGACAAAATGGCCGCCGCCTCGTGGTCGACATACGAACGACGACCACCCGGCATTCGGTTTTAATTGAGAAGTGTCTGTGGTTAACCGCAACGTTCTAATTGGGATCAATAGGTTAACCAGCAGCACACTTCTCTTCTGGGTGGCCGTCCGTTCGGTAGTTCTGTTCGACAAAACCGACATTCCCTTGAATAAAGCATACGAATGGGGAAATTCATGTAACCGGCAAAACAGGCGAACAAAGCAGTTATAATCCAGACAGATGGGTCTGTCACACGGCTCCCCCCTTGTGGAACACTCCGGCAGACCCGGCTTGACCCTTTGGCGGGTCAACTTGGGGATGACCGGACTGAGGAGGAGTAGGGACGTCTGTTTGCCGAGATAACCCATCTGCATTCCCATTCTGCTTACCGGGTTGGTAGCTGATGGTGAAGTTATATGGCTGTAGTGCCAAACTCCACCTCAGCAGTCTGCCATTGTCTCCTGAGACCCGGTTAAGCCACACGAGGGGGTTATGGTCCGTAATAAGGGAAAATTCTTGTCCATACAGATAAGGGCTCAGTTTCTTCAGTGCCCAGACCAGGGCTAAACACTCTTTCTCCACTGCCGCATAACTTACTTCCCGGGGTAGTAACTTTCTGCTTAAGTATGCGACAGGGTGAGGACCCCCAGTCCATACATGGAAGCATCTGTATGTACAAGAAAACGTTTGTTAGGGACTGGGGCAGCCAGGACAGGAGCATTAACAAGAGCTTGCTTCAGTGCCTGAAACGCGGCTTCACAAGCTGGAGACCACAGGACCTGCTTAGGCAAATTCTTCTTAGTCAGGTCAGTCAAGGGCTTGGTAACCGTACTGTAGTCGGGGACAAAACGTCGGTAATACCCTGCCGTCCCCAGGAAAGCTAGCACTTGGGTCTTGGTGATAGGTGTGGGCCAGTTAGCTACAGCCTCTACCTTGGCTGGCTCCGGTCTCTGGCTTCCACAGCCGACTCTGTGACCCAAGTACTGTACTTCTGCCATGCCTAGATGGCACTTGTCTGGCTTCAAGGTCAGGCCTGCGGCCCGAATCTTGTCCAGCACCACCCCCACGTGTACTAAATGGTCTTCCCAGGACTCACTGTAGACCGCAATGTCATCCAGGTAGGCACATGCAAAGTCCTGGAAGCCATCGAGGAGCCTATCCACCATACGCTGGAAAGTAGCCGGAGCATTCTTCATCCCAAATGGCATAACCTTAAACTGGTACAGGCCAAATGGGGTGACGAATACCGACTTAGGGATAGCATCCTCGGCCAGGGGGATCTGCCAATAGCCTTTGCACAGGTCTATGGTGGTCAGATAGCGCCCCCTGGCAATACGGTCTAATAACTCGTCTACCCGGGGCATAGGGTAGGCGTCAGTGGTGGTCCGCTCGTTGAGCCGCCTGTAGTCCACACAGAACCGAGTGGTCCCATCTTTCTTAGGCACCAGAACTACAGGCGAGGCCCAAGGACTGTCCGAATGTTCGATAACCCCCAGCCTGGTCATTTCCTGTATCTCCTTCCGCATTCCTTCTCGGACTGCTTCAGGGATACGGTATGGGGGTTGCCGTAGGGGGTTCTGTCCGGATGTCTCGACCTTGTGTACAGCTAGGGTGGTGTACCCGGGTTCTTGGGAGAAGGCCCAAGGACTGTCCGAATGTTCAATAACCCCCAGCCTGGTCATTTCCTGTATATCCTTCCGCATTCCTTCTCGGACTGCTTCAGGGATACGGTATGGGGGTTGCCGTAGGGGGTTCTGTCCGGGTGTCTCGACCTTGTGTACAGCTAGGGTAGTGTACCCGGGTTCCTGGGAGAACGTGGCCTGCTTCTCCCACAGTAATTGTCTTGCCTGTACCTTCTCTGCCGGGTTTAGTCAGTCCCCTAGCTGTACAAGACTAGTAAGGTCTGTCTGGGGGTCCCTCTCTAGCAAGTCAGGTAACGGTAAGTTCTCGGGGTCGTCAGTAGCTGGGGCACATACTGCCGCAACATCCTCTGGTCGTTCTTGATACTCCTTCAGCATGTTCACGTGGAAGGATCGCTGAATCCTTTCATCTGAACAGCTGGCTATAAGGTAGGTAGTATCGCATACCTGAGCTAACACTTTATACGGGCCCTGCCAAGATGCTTGCATCTTGTTCGTCTTCACAGGCTTGAGTACCAGAACCTTCTG